AAACTTCAATAACGAAGGCCAGACCAGATTCTGAAGATGAATCTGTCCATAAATCCGTCCACCTTATCGATTTGGGGAAGCTTCAGTGCAGTCAGATAGGCAATTAACTGACTGGTGGAAGAAGCACAAGCATAAAAAATATCTCTACGGCCAAAGTGACTTCAATCCGTCCGGTGAGCCGGGATATTTCTACTTTTTAAGATGACGCAGTTGCTGTTCGGTCAGAGAGGAAGATAACTCTGGAAGTCCGCAAGCAGTACTCAGAGGAATTCTGTTTACTGAACAAGGACAGCTAAATGAGGTAGCTGAAAGCCCCAGCTCCTCTTGTGGTGGTCAGTTAAAGAAGGACTGCCGCTAGAGTCGACTTTTCTGTCTGAAACGACATCGCCAGCCCGTTAAGGTACCGAGACACCAGACGTAGACGGCTGTCTTTCGGTCATTATCGATCGTCGGTACCTTCTGTAGGTACGTGGCTCTCGCTAATTAATGTGGGTGGAGTATTGTTAATCTCCTGTCCGCCCGTCAGCTGGACTGTCGGCGATAACAAACGCTGCGTCACACGACAAATGCCACACAAAAAACCATGAATAAAGAATTAGGCATTTTGGGTGCCGATAATGTTCTCCGATTGTGATGAAATACACGCACGACAAAAAATACGGCAAAGGGAAACTATATGCAGGGATAAAATGGTAATAGTGATCGGGAAGAAGGAGAATAGCACACCTAGTTCACATCCAGCGCTACTACTGGACACACGATGAAAGATGATATGGTTTTGGGCGCTAACTTGCATGCTAAAGTGTAAAAGTCGCTAAAGAGGACTGTTGCTGAACGTGACTTCCTCACGCCACAAGCACAAAGCCCACCTGAAAAAGCATAAAATGTCCGCAGTTACAAGTAAAGCAGCTACATGGCACAAAAAGGCGGCTAGCGGAAAGGCATAATCATGCGCAATCTGACTGACCTCGACAACGATTCAGTGATGAAGACAGAACATGAAGGAAGCACAGAAAGTGCTTGGACGTGCATTCCAAGGAAATCACGTGCGCAAAAAAAACCCCGTTAGTAGGCCACAAAGGGCCCGTCACGAGAATAACTGGCGCACAGACGCGCACTGACGGGAATAGACCAGAGAGATGGAAGACAAGGTCACATTGTAAATTAATAAACTAAGTACACACTGCATGTGGTACGTGATCTTACTCGTGATACGCGATGAAGTTTGCCCATATTACGTAGTTGCATAGGCTATTCCGGACAGCATGATTTTTGCATGCATAAGAGGTTTGTTCGGTACTT